ATTCCCATAGTTTTATGAAAAGGCCCACTCAGTGGAAAAAGATCCCACTCTCAGAATTATCTGCCTATCTGACATGAGCGATGGAGGCTTGGGGACAACAGTGTGGGGGCTGATACTAACTCTCCTGCACATAGTTACTCAAATATTCAAGCTGCGCCACTTGTCGTATCCCTAGTTATCAGAGCAAAAGATAGAGCATGGAGAAATTGGAGCCCAACAGAAGAGGGCAAGCATACAATGTCTTGTGTGATTTTAAATTATATCCCATAAGCCTCAACCAGTCCTGAGGTCCGGTCTACACACAAATGGCTGGAGGTCATGGGAAAGGCCATGCACTGAATGTGTGGTGTCACTATCTTCTCCTACTCCACAGGAGTTTCAGGTTACTTTCTCCCAAAATTGAAATTTGACTATTTATAACATTTTGTTTGATGTATGCTTTCCTACTAGATTCAGATCTTTTTTTAAAAAATAATTTTATTGAGAAACAAATAACAATGAGACAGTTTCAAAACCGATTACTAGCACAGTTTCAATAATTAATACATTGCATATTGTTGTCTTACTGGTTATTCATTGTACAAGATGCAGACAAGATATTCTGTCCATAGACACACTATTAGAACAAATCTCTCTTTTCATTAAATTAAGAGAATGCAGCTGTATATCTATGCTATTTTAAATATACAGATATAAAATGGTCGTTCATTTGTATTCCCCTTTTTTGTTTAGTTTTGTCAGAGAAGGGCATTCCATTGTCATTTAAATATTGTAGGTGTTTGAATTCAGCAAAATATTCCAATATAGTCCAGTAGTCCATAATAGTAGTGAATTTCCCATACGACTGGCAATGTCAGAAGTTGTTGACTTGAGCCTTTTACAGCTCAGCATATTAATATGGCTTTACTTTTTATACTTCATTTTTATACTTTTCTGCTGGATGGTTAAACCAAGATAAAGCAAGACCTATATAATAAGAAATGTCACTTTTTTTTTTTTTTTTCTTTTTTGGTGGAACTGAAGCTGGAACTCAGGCCCTCATGCTTACCAGGGAAGCGCTTATTCAGCTGAGCCATCTCCCCAGCCCCAGGAAATGTAACTTTTGTAACTGATAAGGTCAGTCAAATCCCTTCAAGATTTACCTGGAAACCCTGTAACACAGTTTGTAGATCTTTTGTCAGCGTCAGCCATGTGGATGAGTCACGGCCATTGCTTGACCAGTTTGCTCTCTGTGAAAGCCTGAGAGAATGTTTTCTCTCCATGTGACTCTCCTTAGGCACACTCTACATCATTGATCACTTTCCTCTGTGGCCACAAAATCTTGATCAGAATATTTGGGACACAACTGAGTTACATGGTGTTCAGTATAGGATCTCCTATGTCCTGAGTCTTCACTGACCTTGAAAAGCTAGGTCCAAAATATTGGCTGTCCTTGCAGCTCTTCTTTTTCTCTAACTTTTGGTCTGCAAATTTAGGTTGTTAACCTTGCAGAAGAGAAGTTTATTATTACTTTACAACATATGCAGTTGGGTTTAACCTAACTATCTGTCTGAATATCAAACATCTTAGGCATAACATGAAACAAGTATTTTCCAAGTATTGATATGCTAAACTTTAAATCCCTCCAGAATATTAAGGAAAAAAATTAAAAAAATAAAAAAATATTTAAAACATAGGAATAAACTTACATATTTTTACACAGAAATTTAGAAATCTAACCCTTATACAGCCTTGTAGCAGGACAGTTCTGTGACTTTTTTTTTTCTTGTCTCTTGTTTTCATTTATTACCCTTTAGATTCAGAGCTTGGAGGACTTGGGAACTTATCTTTTCTGTTTACTACTAGAGTTTTTAAATATTCCAATAAACTTTATTTACAAAAAAAATGCCGCAAGCAGCATTGGGCATATAATTCAGTTTGCCAATTAAAAAAAAAAACCTTTATTTTAAACCAACAATGTAAAAATTATATATAATTGTGGGGTACCATCTGCTCCTCACCCACATCTCCCTTGTGTGTAGTATCTATCATTCAACTCACAACTCCTGTGAGCTCAACTTTTTAAGCACTATAAGTGAGTAAAACCATGTGGTACCTGTCTTTCTATGCCTGGATTATTTCAGTTAACAATGTCCAGCTCCATCTGTGTTGTCACAAATGACAAGGGCTTAACATTTTTCTATGGCTGAAGTATGTCCCATCATGCACATGGGTGCAGTTTCTTTATCCATGAACCTGCTGTTGAACACTTAGATTGTTCGCATTCCTGTTACTGTAAAGAGTGCTATAATAAACATGAACATGAAGATGTCCCTTTGACATAGTGTTTTCCACAATAGCATTTTCCACAATGACTGTTCTAATTCACATTCCCACAAATAGCGTGGAAGAATTCCTTTTTATCCACATCCTTGCCAGTACTTTTTATCTTTTTTCATTTTAATAATAGTGCCTGCAGTGAAGTGATTTCTCATTACAGTTGTAATTTGTATTTCTCTAATGACCAGCAATATGGAACATTTTTGCCAGTGCCTATTAGTAAAATGTATGTTTCCTTTGGGAAAATGTCTATTTAGATCTATTGTCCATTTTTAATTGGATTTTTATTTTGCTATTGTTTGAGTTTCTTACATATTATATTAACTCCAGATGTGTAGTTTGCAAATATTTTCTCCCCTTTTGTAAGTTGTCTCTTCACTCTGTTAATAATTTCCTTTGCTGTGCAAAAGCTTCTTAGCTTGATGCAATTCCTTTTGTCTATTTTTACTTTGATTTCCATTGTTTGGGAGTCTTCTGAATGTTCTAATTACTCCTGTTTTCTTTTATTAGTTTCATAGATTTGGTCTTCATTCCCTTTTTAGTTTACTTTTCTACATGTAAAAAATTGTAGTTTAGTTTCATTTTTCTGCATGTGGATATATAATTTTCCCAGCATCCTTTATTCAAAAGATTATCCTTTTTCCAATTCATATTGTAAATGCCCCTGTTGAAGGTTAGTTGACCATATATGTATGTGGGGTTACCTGTAGATTCTTGATCCTGTTCCTTTGGTTCATATGTCTGCTTTTAACATCAATACTATCCTGTTTTAATTACTGTAGCTTTGCAATATGCTTTGAGGTCACATAGTGTAATGCCTCTTGCTTAGTGTTTTTGATTATGATTGCTTTGGCTAGTCTTTTTAAAAATTATTTCATCTGAACTTTAGATTTTTGTTTTTAGTTTCATGAAGAATGCCATTGGTTTTTGATAATGATTATATTGAATCTGCAGATTGCTTTGAGCAGTATGGATATACTAACAGTATCAATTCTTAGTTTATTATCAGGAAATGTCTATTTCTTCATGTCCTCTTTAATTTCTTTCATCAGTGTTTTATAGGTTTACTGTCGAGTTTATTCATTTTCTTGGTTAAATTTCTCTGTGTTTTTGGTTTTTTTTGTTTGTAGTCTTTGTAAGTGAAACTGCTTTCTTCTTTTTCAGATAATTCACTGTTGGTATAACATGGCACTCTTGATTTTTGGATATTGGTTCTATATCCTGTCACTTTGCTGAATTCAATTACTAGTTCTGATACTTTTCTGGTAAAACCTTTGAAATTTTCTTTATGTAAAATAATGTTATATGACAACAATGATGATTTGACTTCCTTCCAATTTGTTACCCCTTTTTCTTTGCCTTCTTTGCCTAGGTTTAGGATTTCCTGTAGTGTTGAATAAAAAGGGTAAAAGTCAACATTGTTGTCTTGTTCAAGATCTTAGAACATCTTCAACTCTTCTCCATTCAGTATGATGTTAATTGTTGACTTGTATATGATGTTTATTAAAATGTTTTTGCATGTGCCTGCTTACCTAATTTGTTCTAAATTTTTGTCATGAAAAACTGTTAAATTTTTATCAAATATCTCTTTGTATCTATTGAGATTGTCATGTAATTTTTGTGGTATATCATGTAGATATGTTATAGTCCAGCCAATAGTTCGCATATTTTAGAGCATTCTTGCCTCTCTGGGATGAGCATATTTGCTCATTTTATTAATGTGCTGTTGTATTGTTAGCTAGTATCTTATTGAGAGCTTTTGCTCTGTTTGTTGTAGATACCAACCTGTAGCTTTCTTTTTGTTATTGTTTTTGTTGGTTTTAGTATCAGGATAGTGTTGGTCTCATAGAGAAATTTGGGATGATTTTCTTTTCTATTTTTTTAATAATTGATGAGAACTTGTATTAATATTTCTTTAAGTGCTTGGCACAATTAAGCACTGAAGTCATCTGGCCTTGGACTTTTATTTGTTAAGAAACACTTTATTGTTACTTATTCACTCTCCTTACTCATTTTTTGTCTGTGGTATAGTTTCATAATAATGTTTAAAGATCCTTTATATTTCTGTGATGTGAGTTGTACTTACTCCATTTTCATCCAATTTTATTTAAGTTTTTTTTTAGTTCAGCTAAGAAATGTAAAATTTTCATATGTTTAATAATTCATTGTTTTATTTATTTTTGTTTTAATCCTTTAGTTACTACTTAATTCATTTATGTTCTGATCCATATCTTTCCTTTTACTAATTTTAGGTTTTCATCTTCTTTTTGGGTTTCTTAAAGGTGCAGTAAGTTAACATACTTTTATTTATGTAAATATTGATTATTATAAACTTCCTTTTAGTATTACTTCTGTTATAACCCATAGACTTTGGAAAACTGGGTTCAATTTTACTTGTTTCAAGAACTTATAAAATTTTTTTTTTTCCCCCTTTGGTGGAACTGGGGATTGAACTCAGGCCATTATGCTTGCCAGGGAAGTGCTTATTCCACTGAGCCATCTCCCTGGCCCCAAAATTTCTTTTTTCCCCCCTTTGGTATAACTATTAATAAGTAAGCCCTTACCATTGCCATTTTGGTAATTTTTTTTTTTTAGTTTTATTGTAGCTTCCTTGCTTCTTCCCTCCATCATACTTTAAAATTTTTCCTTTATAGTTGTGATTTTTCTCTCTTTTTTTTAAAAGTCAGGCAGGCAATGTGCCCATGTCATAGCAAGGTTTGAGAGAGGCATATCTCCTGCATAAGGCATGAATACCCAATCATCACACTCATGAACTGAAGGATCTGATTTTTCTCTTGTAGTATGCTTTATTTCCTTATAAGTTTTGGAATATTTACTATGGATTATTGTTTTGTGCTCACCATGAAGCCTTTAAGAAGTATGTTTTAGTTATGAGAAGCTATTTTAAAATGATCATAAAAATGTGACACGAATAAAAGCTAATTTAAAATTCTTCTCCACATTTTGAATTTTTGATATCTTATTTTGCATCTTTCTATATTGTCTATAACCCAGCATAGCAATATGGGCATTTTATATTGCATTTTAAGAGTTTATACTATGGATATAAGTGGTTTATATACCCTATTTATAAGACCAGATCATCCTGAATCTCCTTGTATATCATATCTAGCAAGTTTTATACCTTGCAGTATTGTCTTATTTTTTAGCACCTCCTTCTTTAAGTTTGAAGAATTTCCTTTTTGTGTCTCAGAGGGAAGTTCTGATGGTGATAAATTCTCTGTTATTACTTGTCTGAAACTGACTTTATTGCTTCCTTATATCAAATGAGTAGCTTTCCTGGGTTACAGTATTATTGGATGGCAGATATTTTCTTCAGTACTATGAACAACATGGCAGTTTCTCATGCCACATAAAGTTGTGCTGAGAAATCTGTTCTCATGGAAGGTGAGATGTGATTTCATGCTTTTTTTTCTTGTTGCCTTGAGAATTTTCTTTTATGTTCAACTGTGGACATGGATACTTGGAGTAGTTGTATATACTTTACTTATTTGTATGACAAATTCTTTATCCATGTTTGGAATGTTTTCTATTACTTCTGTGAAGAGGTCCTTTTATGGTATTTGAACTATCTCCACCTTTCCCAATGACTCCAATAAGTCTATTTACTTTTGTTTGTTTCATCTTGCAACTATTGGATTGATTTTTCATGGTCCCTTGCTATTTTTAAGATTTGTCTTTCTGTGGTCACTAGCCACAATTCTGTTTTCTAGGTCTGATTCTATTTTTGCCTTTGTTCAATCTGTTGCATATATCTTCAGTATAATTTTTAATATACTGGATATCTATTTGGATCTGTTCCATGGATTCCATTTCTTTCCTATGTTGGACATTCATAGTTTCCATCATTTTCCTAAGCTCTTCTGTTTTATTTTTAAATCTGTGTCTACTCTGACGCCTTCCATTTTGATTGCCATTCTTCTTGTACCTGAGAGATTATTTTTTTTCATAGCACCATACATTTTTTTTACATCTGCTGCTGTCATTTCAGAAAATTTCAGTGTGTGGCTTCTGATTTCCTCTCTTATTGTGCTCTGGACTTGTCCTGGCTGGGCTGAAGCTTTATGGTTGCATTTTGCTTCTGTATTCTGTCATTTTCTATTTTTAAATTTTATTTTGTTTTCTATATTGATGTGTGTAGATTTTGTATGGTAGATAGCTTTATTAGTATTATGAAGGCTTCCCTAGGTAATATATATTGTTCTGAGGTGTTTTCTAGCCTGTAGGTGGTTGTTGGTCTTCACGTCTGTTCCAAGAACCTACCTTCCCAATTTACTAAGGATGAGAAGCTGCTCTCTATTTTCCTCAGCACCCAGTCCTTTGGTGCTGGACTATAGCGATGGTTATGATCTCAGACAATCACAGTTTTATCACACAAGGGGAGAAAAACTGATTACAACAGATATGACAGCCTGGTTAAAGTAGTACAGACAGTGATCATTATGGCATCAAGCACCGCTTACCTACTGAAAAAGCTGTGTCACTATTAACTTCACACCTTTAATCATAGAAGCAAGTTCTACCAATATATAACCAAACCCAATGCTATGATTTCCCCCTTAGTACAGTAGTTTTACCCTGTGGGGGGATTAAAGAAGGATAGGGAACAAAACAGAGAGATGAATGAGGGACAAACACAGCAGAAGCAAGGAAGAGGGCAATGGATGATTACTTAAGTTTTGAGAAACTGGAGAAGAGCACAGGAGAGAAAGAATGAAAGAGAAGGCAAAAGAATATTGAAACAAACCACAAGGGAAGAAACAATGTTCATTCGCATGGAAATACCATAAAATCAAGAGAAATAGTTGAGGAACAGAGAAAAAAGATGAACAATAAGAAACAAAAATAAAGGTAAGAAACCTAGATAGTCAAAACCCAAATCAATCAAATAAGAACACATAACCAGATGGAAAAAGGAAAACCAATCAAAGAAACAAAGAAAAACAAAAAAATTCCTCTGGTATCCACAGCTCAGTGGTAGTTTTCAAGTCAGATCCCAGAAATATGCTGTATAATCCTGTCAAGTTTGCAGTAGGCTTTTTGCTGGGTATGGGGCTCATCTTGGCCTCCGGATGGGAGTGCTGGACTGGTTTTAGGCTGATGATGTTCTCAGTGTCCATTCTCCTTACCATGATTGTCTCTGTGGAGCCTACTAGTTTCCGTGGTGCCCTCAGATAGGGAAATCTTGACTTTTCTCACAGATCTGTGTACAGCTGGCTCCTTCTGAATAGCTTCCTCTGTTCCATACCACTGACTCCTCCTCCAACATGCTGGTCATTGGGCAGAAGTTTCCATGTCCTTGCTGCACGCCAAGGCTGCTTGCCTGCTTATGCCACTAGGCCAAGGCTGCTCTGCTGGTCGCAGACCAGGGGGATGCTTCTAGTCCTTTGTATTTTTATGGTGAAGACTAGTGTTTGGTGGCCACCGAGTGGAGTCAAGGTGATCATACCTCCTACCTCTCAGGAGGATTCCTGTCTGCTTCTCACCTGCCAGTAGTCTACTGTCACTGGATGGCTCTTCCCTTATCCCACTCCAGGAATGACCCAGGACTGCTCTGCTGCTGGAGCTCTGCATCCTTTGCGATAAAATGCTGGCCCCACCTACCACTTCTGTTCTGCATGTCTGTGTGCTAGAAGGCAGTGCCATTTCAATTTACTAACTGTTGGCTCTGAGTGGTCCCTCAGGACACAGTGTCTCCTATTCTCACTGTTGCTTCTGTCTTGCCTTCCTATTCAACTCTGGAGAACTTGAATACAATGTATCTTGGGGTAGATTTCACTGAATTCAATCCAAATTCAATCTTGTTGTGCCTGGCAATTTTACCTAACTTTAAGTTTGGGAAATATTATTGCTCTGAACATATTTTATTATGCTTTTTTTTTAGTAGTAGTATTTTTGGTGTTCTCTTGGATACTCCACAGGAAAAAATCATTTGTCCTTTGACTGATGTACAGGTTGCTATACCATGCCTTCAATTCTCTTTATTTTTGCTTTTGTTTAACTGTGTAACACCCAAATAGCCTATTTTCAAGCTAATATTTTCTTCTGCTTGATCTATTTTGTTATTGATACTTTCTATTGTGTGTTGGTTTTCTTTAGTGAATTTTTAAATTCAAGGATGTTTGATCTGTAAAAGTTGTTTTTATCTCTAAGTTTTTGTTACAGAATTGTTCATTTTCTTGAAGCTTGTTACATTTCCTTTTAACTGTTGTTTTCAATTCTCTACCCAAGAGTTTGCAAGTGTCAGTTATCATAGAATTGTCTTCTAGCATTTTATTTTGTCCATTAAGTGAAGTCATCTTTTCCTGAATGTTCTTGATGCTTTTTAACATGCAACATCATATGTATATCAAAAGATTAGATATTTACACTGCTCTTTGCACTATGACTTTAAAAAAAATATTTGTCTTTCCAATAATTCTGGAAAGATTGATTGCTTATGCTGAACATGTGGATAATTCTGTTCTTTCAGGACTAGGCAGTAATAAAACTCCAGGCTTGCTACCAGTTGTTTGTCATTAGCACTAGAGGGTCCTGCACCGGGCAATAGAGTAGTTCCTGCCCATCTTCAGGCACTTGCCTGAGATGATTAGGATCTGCCTACTGTTAGGCTTTACTAACCTCATACTGAGACATAAGACATAGTCCTGTGTTTATCTTCTTGTCCTGTTCACCAGAAAGTAGCTGGAGTCTTGCTTCTGTCTGCCCATGTTGGAGTTGGGATGACAGAAGCAGTCTCTCAGTTGCTTAGGCAGGCTGATGCGAGACTTGGTTTGCACCTGAGTGTCTCAGCTTCAGGACCTATGTGGTCTCCAGAGTATGTGATAGGCCTGGAGTAAGAGCTTCTGAACTCTAACCTGTTCTGTGTCTCCCTGAGTAGTCCCAGCACAGATCTCAAGGATGCTGGATCTTTGTTCCTCTCTGTCCACTCAAGGTTGGAGGAGAGAAGGTGGAGGCAGCTCACTGGCCACTTGGCCAAGGAAGGACTAAAGGCTCAGTCTAAGCATCCTGGCCTGGAGCCATGGTTCCCTGCCTCGCATTGGGATTCACCCTGGCGGCCTGGTTACTGCATGTCAAATCTGAGGTATGGGCTTAATCGTGTTTCACTGAAGGTATTTCTGTGTACTGTGCTGTGTGGAGTTGGGGACAGTGATGTCCCTGGCAATTCTCCTGCTGTTTCCTATGTGTCTTTTAAAATTTCTATGCCCAAGCCGAGTAGCGTGGACTCCCACTTTCCTCCTGTGCAACTGGTCTGGTGTGTGAATAGCCTACACGGACACCCCTATGTGGAGATGGTCACTGGAGCACATTACTTGCTCTCTTGGTCTGCTCTCTACCCTGGATTCTATATGCTTAGCAAGGTGTCTGACACAGAAACAACAGAACTGTGACTTATGCTGCCATCTGGTGGCAGTTCTTGTAAATTACAGTAGCAGTTACTTTTAAACTATGTAGAGACTAAGGACCAAGGTATAAATTCTTTTGGGTGTACCAGTGGGAATATGAGGAAGGAGAGCAGTATTAGATGAAAGGGAGAGACTGCCGGGGTGTCTTGGAGGAGATGTCTTACCAGTTGTGGGCCCACCCCAGTTACATCCTTCCCCAATTTGATTGGTGAAATACCTACTAAGGTACTCTGGGTTTTCAGAGTTTTTTTTTTTTTTTTTGAACTGGGGATTGAACTCAGGCCCTTGCGCTTGCCAAGCAAGCACTTATTCTACTGAGCCATCTCCCCGCTCCTGTTAAGAGTTAATGAAAACAA